GGCTCAGGAAGCAGGGAACTCCAGTAACAGTCCAGATAATGAAACGACACTGGGAAACACTGTGGATCTACAACCCTCTCTTCCTGTTCCTGTGGAACATTTTGGTGATTTTGACTCTGGCGAAACAGTGTTTTCTGGCTTAAGCAGTAAAACCGTTTTGCCGTCGCCTCAGAACCTGGAAATACAGGATGTGCTGAATGGAACTTCAGATTCCAATCCCACTCTACTCATTCCAAACAGGCCTTCGGATGACTCACGTTCTTCAAGCCTCCCCAAACAAACAACGGTAAATGAATAACTTTGATGTTATATTGTTACTATCATTTCACAGTCTTTTATATAATGCAATTATTATACAGTTAAGATTTTTTTTTTCGTGTGTAGAATGATGCATTATCAAGTGATGATGTGCTGTCCAGACATGCCACTGCTGTTGTGATGACTGCTAGAGAGAAACATCATCTCTCACAGGTTGGTATCAATAAATACAAATCTTACAATGTTCTGTTAATGTTGTTTATGTATGAACACACACACGCACGCACAGTGCTTGAATTTATTAGACAACCACCTAATATAAGGTTTGCGCCACAGCTGCCCTAAACTAACTGTATTTGTGATTACCAAAATACATTTTTATGTTTCTGTAATGGCTAATCCACAAGTATGCATAAGCACTTTAGTCACAGTAGTATTTCTAATGCTAACATATAATTGTTATCCATTAACTTTTGAATTTACTATTTGTTTACAAGAAAGGCAGAAAAATAGTAAAGCACTTTTTTACAGTATTTTATTTATTTGCTTTTATTCAGATGCCCAATTACATAAAAGTACATACAATCAATGCTAGCAAGGATGCAAGCTGTCATAAGGCCAAAGGCGGTCATACAAAATATTCTTTCACACATAACCAAAGAACTTAATATTTTGTAAAGAATATTTTAGTTGTTTCAGCTTGTTGTTTGCCTAAGAAATGACAGTTTTTATTTTTGTTTTTTTTACCGATTCCTAAAATAATTATTTTTGTCTTTATGACAGGTGGTTTAAAAAAATATCTATACACACACACACACACACACAATGACACATATTGATTTGTTCTTATTTAATTATGTAATTTTCAGTGTATCTCCCTGCAAATTAAATTTTTTTTGTTTGCTTTTTCCTCAGAGTGGAGTGAATGACGTTGTGGCAACAGTTCAGTGGAGTATCAAGCTCAGTTACTGAACAGCTTGAGGAGTCAGCTACAAACAGTGTTCAACAGACATTCAGAAAGTGAGATTCAACAAGAAGCTTTGGGAATCTTTGACTGCTTTGAAGATCCATTTGCTGCTGTTTCAACAACATACAGGCAAGACAGTGTCATAAAAGAGAAATTCAGTTTTGTCGAAGCAGAAGAAGTTCCAGTTGGATTAGCAGTATGCTGTCAAAAAAGAGAAAAAAGAAGAGACCTCTGCATAAAAAACAAATGTTTCCATTATATACCACTGATAAAGAGTTTAGAACAATTACTGTCTCATCCAAAAATCTTTGCAATGTTAAATGGTGGACCTCAGAAATGCAGCAGTGGATATTTTTATGTCATCATAGATGGCGAGCTCATGCTATCTCACTCTTTATTTTCCTCTAAACCTACTGCTTTACAGATAATCCTTTATTCAGATGAAATCGAAATTTGCAATCCACTTGGGTCTCATGCTTCAAAGAATAAGTTGCTCATGTTTTACTACACTTTGGGAAACATTAAACCAAAGTACAGGTCCAAATTAGCTTCAATCCGCCTTCTTGCCATTGCGAAGAAAAGTGACCTCTCAGAATGTGGAGTTGATGCCATTTTGACAAGACTGCATGAGGACTTGGTAAAGCT